CAACATGGTGAAACCCCATCTCTACTAAAAATACGAAAACTACCCCGGCATGGTAGCGTACACCTGTAGTCCCATCTACTCAGGAGGCTGAGGCAGGAGAATAACTTGAACTTGGGAGGCAGAGGGTGCAGTGAGCTGAGATTGCGCCACTGCACTCCAGTCTCGGTGACAAAGTGAGACTGTGTCTCGAAAAAAATTTTAAAAACTTAAAAAAAAATTTTTAACCCTCCCTCTAAAAAACCCACCTTTTAAAAACTCAAGATTACCTCCCAAGCTTGTCTGTTTTCAACAGCCCCTACTCCCTGCTCCACCACCCCCCATCCTGCCCTGCCTTCTATCTGCAGCTGCCACTGCCCCACCACTGATGGTGCCTTCTACCTGTGCCCCCCACCCCTACCCTGTCTCTTCTGTATGTGGCTCCCCCTACCTGCCTAGCATGTGCCAGTTCCGGCACCAAGAACCTTTTCTTCACAGAGGCAGGGACTAGCCATGTGGGCTCTGGAGTTTAACTCTTGCAAATTCACTTCTCTGTGGCTCAGGTTCCACCACTACAAGAGGTTAAGGGCAGGACTGGCTTCCTGAGACAGCTATGAGGACCCACGAATCCTGACATTTAATGTGCCCAGCACAGTGTGGGGCACAGTCAGCACTCAGCGTGTGGCCACCAGCCACATTCTTTAAAGCACAACTCAAGTGCCACCTCCTTCAGGAAGTCCTCTTGGACTTTTCAGTCTCTATCAAATCTTGAATGAGCTCCTCCATCACTACCAACACCCGTCAAGATGTCTGCACCACTGTCTGGCACATTCCACCCTACATAAGTCACTCACGCACAGGCCCAAGTCTCCACCTCAGCACTTCCTGTAAGCTACTCACTGGCAGTGACAGTGGCTTCCATACCTTCTGGCTGCCAATGGCAAGCAGCCAGCATGTCCCCGTGCCTGTGGCAGCCATGGCCTGAAGAGTTCTTAAATGGCATCACCATCTACCTCCCTGTTTCTAACATCAAATACCACACAGTCACATCGTAGAGTCACCGTGAGAGCTGCCACTCACCGGGCACGTTCTGCATGCCAGAGATGGTGCTGAGCCGCGCATCACCACCCCCGCTTCACCCTCACGCGACCCCAGCTGTGGGGGATTTCTAAAATCCATCTCGCACAGATACGGACCCTGAAGCTCCAAGGGAACGAGACCAAGGAGCGAATCCAAGAAGCAAAGGCCACGTGGGAAGGACAGGCTCCCTTCAATCAGGAGGAGCTCAAAAAACGATCAATGTTATCTTCTTTGCAACTCACACAAAACTGAGTTTCGCATTAAGTTCTCTGGCAAAAAAAGAGTACTAAAAATAACTGTAAACCATTCTGTTAAAACCATTTTCTCTCTCATTCCTTCATTTCCCTTGGTCATGTCTCTGCCCTGGTGTGCCTCTCCCTCCCTCCCTAACTGCACTCTGGAAAGTCTGGCCATGGCTGACAGGCTCTGTGTGGCCTGGGCCCTGCTCACCTCCAAGCCCGCACGCCTGGCGCAGCTCAATGCTTGGTAGCAGGCAGACAGGGAATCACTTAATGCAATCCGTTTTTATTTTTAAAAGGCTTTCTCAACCAGGTACAGCGGCTCATGCCTATAATCCCAGCACTCTGGAAGGCAGAGGCAGGAGAATCACTTGAGCCCAGGAGTTCGAGACTATTCTGGGCGACACAGCGAGATCCCTGTCTCTACTAAAAAGAAAAAAGGAAAACACCTAGCTGGGTGTGGTGGTGCACGCCTGTGGCCCCAGCTACTTGGGAGGCTGGGGCGGGAGAGCTGCTTGAGCCCAGGAGTTCAAGACCAGTCTGGGTGACATAGTGACACCTCTTTTCTACAAATAATAAAAAAAAATTAGCCAGGCGTGGTAGCACATGCCTGTAGTCACAGCTGCTCAAGAGGCTGAGGAAGGAGGATCACCTGAGTCTGGGTGGCAGAGGCTGCAGTGAGCTGTGACCAGGCCAGCACACTCCAGCCTGGGTGGCAGAGCAAGACCCTGTCTCAAACAAAACAAACAAACAATCTGTCCCACCCTGGCCGGTGGTAAACTGACTTTGGCTGGTGAGGCCTGGACCCAGGGTCTGTACGAGATAAACTGGGAGCTCCAGTCACCCTGGGATGAGCCTTGGAGGGACTGCTCTCCTCCCCTATCCCTCCGGCGAGACTCATTCACAGGGATGGTGCTGCAAGAGGGGGGCTATTTCTCTAAAGTACTGATTTGCCTTCTTTCACGTCTGCACGTTGGAAAATGCATGCCCTGCGACAGCAAAGGCCATCTCGTTTCGTAGTTGTGTCCAGTAGGTTTGCTGTGGGCAGAGCACACCTGCTGCTGGGATGTGACACAGGGCGTTTTCTTGTTTGATTTTTCCTCAATGAACCAACTGGCACAGTTCCCCAGCCGAGGAGAGCTTAGCTCAAACCTCGGCACAGGTGCTAAGGCATTGTACAGTTTAAGAAGCAAAGCTCTTCTGGTGACTCCCTGTCAAACCACCTGCGGCGGTCCCTCAGCCACTGAGGGAGCCTGACCTCTCCCTTGGTCTTGCCAGAACCGTCTTGCGAGGCCGAGGCAGGTCTGTGGAGACGGCCTGGAAGGTGAGGCCACACCGTGCCACAGGCCTCCCAGGGCAGGACTCCTAGCCCCATACAAGGGACCTGGTGAGCCTCTCCAGCTGCACTCGCATGACTGGTCCTCTTGCCCTAGGCAAAGCCAACAGGACCCAGAGCCACACTGGGTGTGTCAACGGCAAGCAAGCATAAAGCATGCAAACAGCTGCTATTCAACCCTCTCAGTGTTTTTTAGAAAATGCCAAGAAGTCAAAATTCAATTAACAAATGGAGTTTCAGAAACTATGTCAGAAGGCCGGGCGCGGTGGCTCACACCTGTAATCCCAGCACTTTGGGAGGCCTGGGCGGGTGGCTCACTTGAGGCCAGGAGTTCGAGACCAGCCTGGCCAACACGGCAAAACCTCATCTCCACAATAAATACAAAAATTAGCTAGGTGTGGTATCAGCACCTGTAGTCCCAGCTACTTGGGAGGCTGAGGCATGAGGACAGCTTGAACCCAGAAGGCAGAGGTTGCTGTGAGCCGAGATGGCACCACTGCACTCCAGCCTGGGTGACAGTGCAAGACTCCATCTCAGAAACAAAACCAAAAACTACATCTGAAGAAACTATTTTTGGTCCCAACAATATCCCAGGTTAGTCAGAAGCTTTCGAGTTTCCTTTCTCTTCATTCTATCTTTCAGATTTTCTCCCCGGCTCCTCGGAAGGCTGAGGCGGGGAGATCACTTGAGCCCAGGAGTTCAAGGCCAGCCTGGGCAACATGGTGAGATCTCATCTCAGAAAAAGAGATAGGAAAAAACAAACTCTCCAAATGATACCAATTACCTCATCCCCAAACCAATGTACAGGTCCATAAAAAGGTGAAATGGAAGCTGCTGATGTCTTGGCAAAAAATAGGCAAAGTTAACAAAATGAAGTTCATCTTACCTCACCAAAAGCACCTCTTCCAATTACTTTAATTATTTCAAAGTCTTCTCGATGAAGCTGCATTTCTTTCACCAGCTGTGTAAATGGTTTAGCTACAAGTAAAACAGTAAAACGAACAATTTAGTCTAATCAGTTGATACCCATATAAAATTTTAATTGATTGGGGTATTGCACTAAGTTATACTTTCAAAAAAGTTTATGTTTAAAAATATTTCGTACCTGACAAGTTTTGGAAAGTGAGCATTTATACTAACGGACAGGGAGGTTGATCCTGAGCCACTGCAGTCATGCACTTGGTAACACTGTTTCAGCCACTGCAGTCATGCACTTGGTAACACTGTTTCAGCTGACAACGGACCACATATATAACAGTGATCCTGTGAGATTATACTACTGTACTTTTACCGAATCTTTTCTATGTTTAGATACACAAATATGGCCAGGCGCAGTGGCTCACGCCTGTAATCCCAGCACCTTAGGAGGTTGAGGCAGGCGGATCACCTGAGATCAAGAGTTCGAGACCAGCCAGACCAACATGGTGAAATCTCATCTCTACTAAAAATACAAAAATTAGCCGGATGTGGTGGCGGGCGCCTGTAATCTCAGCTACTCAGGAGGCTGACACAAGAGAATTGTTTGAACCAAGGAGCCGGAGGTTGCAATGAGCCAAGATTGTGCCACTGTACTCCAGTCTGGGCAACAAAGCGAGACTACATCTCAAAAAAATAAATAAAAATAGATACACAAAAACCATTGTGCCACAGCTGCCTACAGTGTTCGGAACTGTTGCACCCTGCATAGATGTGTAATCCAGGAGCAGCAGGTTGTGCCACGTGGCCTAGGTGCGGGGTAGGTTTTGCCATTTGAGTCTGTGACGTGCTGTTGTCATGTTCGCACAATGACAAAAGCCACCTAACAACACATTTCTCCGACGGTATCCCCATCATTATGCAACATGCAATAGTGTACTTCAGTATCCATCAGAGCAAACATCACCACTACAAAAGTCTCCTGGTCAAAGCCAACAGGTGAACACCTACTGAGAGAGCAACTGATGGGCGCCCGTAGCCCACGTGCAGGACACAAGTGCGTGAGGTGAGTGACAGCTGAGCTCCACCTGCCTGCACGTAGGAGCCACAGGGCAGCTGGAGGAACACAAGATATTCTCCAAGCCAACACTGGTCCTAAAAGTGCCGGAGGTCTCCCTGGACACCCACGGCAGTCCCAGATAGGTCCTGTGGCATCTGTAACAGTAACATCCACCAGTCAGGCACTTTACACGGCTCTTCCCAGCCTCCTCTCGCGGACTCTCTGAGAGTAATTCTGTTATTATCCACACTTCACAGATGAGAAAACTCAGCCAGGTTTCTGCGGGCACTGGACCAGGCTGGACAGTGTCCCCAGCAAAACTCACGTCTGCTCAGAACCTGTGACTGTAACCTCATTTGGAAACAGGGTCCTTACAGACGTAACCGGTGAAGATAAGGGCACCTGCTGGAATAGGGTGGGCCCGAAGTCCAACAAGACTGTAGGGTCCAGCCCCACAGGGTCCGTGGGTTCTTTTCCTCGTGTGCGGAGACGAGAGATTGTAGAAATAAAGATACAAGACAAAGAGATAAAAGGAAAGGCAGCTGGGCCCGGGGCACCACTACCACCAAGACTCCGAGGCCAGCAGCGGCCCCGAATGCCAGGCTGTGCTGATATTTACTGGATACAAGACAAAGCGGCAGGGTAAGGACAGTGAGCCATCTCCAGTGATAGGTAAGGTCATGTGGGTCACGTGTCCACTGGACAGGGGGCCCTTCCCTGCCTGGCAGCCGAGGCAGAGAGAAAGAGAGGAGAGAGAGACAGCTTACGCCATTATTTCTGCATATCAGAGACTTTCAGTACTTTCACTAATTTGCTACTGTTATCGAAAAGGCAGAGCCGGGTGTACAGGATGGAACATGAAGGCGGACCAGGAGCGTGACCGCTGAAGCACAGCATCACAGGGAGACGGTTAGGCCTTGGATAACTGTGGGCGGGTCTGACTGATGTCAAGCCCTCCACAAGGTGGAGGAGTGGAGTCTTCTCTGAACTCCCCGGGGAAAGGGGGACTCCCTTTCCTGGTCTGCTAAGTAGTGGGTGTTTTTCCTTGGCACTGCCGCTGCCACTAGACCACGGTCCGCTTGGCAACGGGCATCTTCCCAGATGCTGGCGTTACCGCTAGACCAAGGAGCCCTCTGGTGGCCCTGCCCGGGCGTGACAGAAGGCTCACACTCTTGTCTTCTGGTCACTTCTCACTATGTCCCCTCAGCCCCTATCTCTGTATGGCCTGGTTTTCCCTAGGTTATGATTGTAGAGTGAGGAGTACTATAATATTTGAATAAAGAGTAATCACTACAAACTAGTGATTAATGATATTCATAAATAATCATATCTATGCCCTATATCTAGTAGAACTATTCTTACTTTATATATTTTATTACACTGGAACAGCTCGTGCCCTCGGTCTCTTGCCTCGGCACCTGGGTGGCTTGCCGCCCACACAAGACTGGTGTCCTTCTAAAAGGAGAGAAATCAGACACAGAGACCGAGGGAAAAAGAGCCATGTGGGGATGGAGGCAGAGATGGGAGCGATGAGGCTGCACACAAGGAATGCCAAGCATCGCCAGCAGCCCCAGAAGCTGAGGGCACAGAGGGCTCCCCCGAGCCTGTGAGGGGCGTGGCCCGGCTGACGCCCTGACTCTGGACTTCTGGCCTCCAGAGCTGTGAGAGAAACATCTGTTGTTTAAGCCCCCTACTTTGTGGCAACTGGTTACATCCCCCACAAGAAGCTCCTAGAGAGAGGTCAGGTCATCTCTTCCCAGGAACACAGAGTGCGAGGCAGGGCCAGGACTGGAGCCCACACCGTCTGACTCCAGACCCGCTCCTGCCCACCACACATCCTGCCAGTCTGGCATCTGTGCAGTCAACTATCTCTCTTGCACCTGTCTCTATTTTCACCTTCAAGCCCAAATCTACATGGTTTATATTAGGTTTTATTCTGTCTGGCTCCTTTTCAAATTCTCTATCACTATAATTTTACTAAAGGTGCCTCTGGGGGAACTGAGCAAAGTGCACAGGGCCCTCTCTGTCCTATTTCTTACCACTGCAGGAGTGGCTACAATTAGCTCCAAAATACGTGCGATCTGACACTTCCTGGGCTTCTGAGTTCTGTATTATTAATCTCACTAATTCTGCAGGTTTTTTCTCCTTTAATAGTCGCTCAACACTACTGAGGTTCGCTCACCACAATCAGAAGAGCCACAGAAGGTTCCTGGGGCCTGTGGGACAGTGAGTTAGGAACGATGGCCCCCAGAACAGCAAATGCACATCAGCAGAGATCAGGGAACAGAACAAACGGGGCCTCAGTTATTAAAAAAGAAAGAAAGGCCAGGCTGAAGAAAACCCTTGAGCTGCACTCCAGCCTGGGCGACAGAGTGACACTCAAAAAAACCAACAAAACGAAAAACAGTGAAGACAAAGGCAGATGAGACGCAGGAAGCAGCTCGCACCAAGGCTGTGCCTGCAACGTCCTCTCTTTTCTTTCCACATTAATTATTCTCAAGTTACCTGGGCTTCCTTGTCAAGTCTCCCCTCTGCTCTTTTGATGAAACATATTTTGCTAATTATGTAGTTTAACAGTTGTGTACACATTTCCCTCAAGCGGGTGGACATGGATGATGGGCGCCAGGCTGGAAGAGGAAGGAACTTCGTGGCAAGCCTGGGGTGAAGGCTTGGAGAGGCAAACCACAAGAGCAAAGCAGCAGGGGACCTGTGTGCGGGCAGGAGCAAGTTCCCAAATCAGCGGGCAAAGGAGAAAACATTTAAAACATTAAAGCAGTTTAAATGTTTTCAAACTGCTCTGAGAACAGTAACAATTTTGTACTGGTGTATAAAAATAATTAGCCTGGGCGTGATGACATGTGGCTATAATCCCAGCTACTCAGGAGGCTGAGGCAGGAGAAACACTTGGACCCAGGAGGCAGAGGTTGCAGTGAGCCAAGATCTCGCCACTGCACTCCAGCCTGGGCAACAAGAGCAAAACCCCGTTTCAAAACCAGAAACAATAAACATAATTAAGACCGCTTTAGCTATGACTAGAAAGGAAAGCCGCATCGCAGGGGTGGAGCACCCTGCTAACCACACAGGTACTGAGAGCAGGGGACAGAGCATTTAACACCAGTAACTATCAACTAGGTCACTAAGATGTAAAGAGGGCACATGGAAATACCACGGAGATGGCAAATGCAGGAAGCACCTTCTGCCCTTAGGATCAGGAAATGAAAGAAGAGGCTGGACTTTTTAAAACTTAGAAACCTGGGCAAAGGGCCTTGTAAAGCTGAAACTCAGACCCCTGAGGATGGGGTGCTGCTGGCCGGCACTGGGTCTCTGAGCTCAAAGGCAGCCCCACAGGCTCGGCCCCCAGTGACTGGAAGGAGTGCAGCCAGCTGACGCTGGGCTCTCTGAGGTGACCGCGGCAAGGCTGTTCTGCTGGTGTGGGGAAAACTCCAAACTGGCACCAGAGGCGGACTGCCAGAAGGAACTTCGCTGCCAGGATGGTGTCGCTAGAGTGTCACTCTAGGAAGAAGCGGGCAGGAAGCCGCAAGTCATCCTCCCACCTCCCAGCCTTGGAGTCGCCCTCCAGCACCCGCTTCAGGCAGAGCGCAACAGGGAGCAGGGAACCAGAGCTCCTCAGGCTTGGCTGGGGTGTGGGGTAGAGTGAGGAGGACATTGTGGTGAGGAACCAGGTGAGGGGAGGGAACCAAGTGAGGGGAGGGAACCAGGTGAGGGGAGGGTGGTCCTCCTGTTACCTACAGGAGGACTGATCAGATAAACAACATTCAGGATGATGGGGCTGGGATCCTCACTGTCAGAAAGAGTACTTACAGATAAGGAAGAAAACGAGAATAAACTGTACAGCACTGGGATAGAATTGGAGGTTATCAGTATGAACTCGCAGCTTCCATATAGACAGACAGATACAGGGATAAATGCAGACATATATGGGTGTGTACATACAGAGTCCTAGCTCTGTCTACCGAGAGTGCCTGGGAGCAGCAGCAGTTCAGCTACAAGCACACCCAGTGCAGAATGTGGTCTCTAAAGCCCATTCTCCAACATAGGACAGGGCTCCTTGGGCAACTCCAGAGCTGGGTCAGGAAACCGCAAGGTGAGCCTGCAGCAGCCAGTGCTGAGAAGTGAGGGTATGCTCAAAATAAACACAAGCAGTCACAGACTATAATCTATTAAATAAAACAGGCCTGGGAGCAGTGGCTCATGCCTGGAATCCTAGCACTTTGGGAGGCTGAGGCAAGAGGACTGCTTGAGCCCAGGAGTTCAAGACCAGCCTAGGTAACACAACAAGACTCCATCTCTACAAAAAATAAAATAATTAACCAGGGTGTAGTGGCATACACCTGTGGTTCCAGCTACTCTCAAGGCTGAGGCGAGAGGATCACTTGAGCCCAGGAGGTGGAGGCTGCAGTGAGCTGTGTTTGCACCACTGCACTCCAGGCTGGACAACAGTGAGACCTTGTCTCAAAACAAAAACAAAAGACACCAGGAAATCAGGAGTCCACACCGGTATTAATGTATAAAATTTAAAAATCTAATGAGAAATGGGATATTTATATAGTTTCAAAGTACATCCAAACAAAATACCTATCAATTACGAAGAGAAAATGGTGACTTTACAGTGAAGTCAGGCAGACACCACCTGAAATCAAGCAATCAGAGTGGCCAGCGTCAGTTACGTGACAAGGCGAAACCGCACATCCCACAGGACACGAGGGGGAAAACATAGCCTCACTTCTGTGATTCTCCTGCCAAAGATCCACAACACAAATCCAACCACTAGGAAACGCCAGAAAATGCCAGGAAACACCAGGCAACGCCAGGAAATGCCAGGCAAATGCCAAATGTCAGGCAACGCCAGGCAAACACCAGGCAATGCCAGGCAAACGCCAAACATCAGGCAATGCCAGGCAAACGCCAGGAAACGCCAGGAAACACCAGGCAAACCTAAACTGAAGAACAGTCTCAAAATTACCAGCCTGAAACCTTCATCAGTGCCAAGGCCATGAAAGTCAAGGAAAGACACAGAGCTGCTCACACAGAAAGGAACAAGGTCATGGTGTGTGTGGCTCTGCAGCGGACCCTTCTGCTACAGAGCAGAGTATGAGAAAATCTGCAATGCTTCCGTGGAATCGTGGAATCAGAAGGTTAGATACAGCAATGTTTCAGTGCCACATTGCTGATTTTGTTGGTTACACTGTGGTTATGTAGACTATCCCTGTCTGTAGGAAATACACGCTAAAGCAGTGGTCCCACCCTTTTTGGCACCAGGGACCACCTTCATGGAAGACAATTTTTCCACAGACCGGTGGAGGAGGTGAGGTGATGATTTTGGGATGAAACTGTCCCACCTCAGATCATCAGGCACTGGATTCTCATAAGGAGCATGCAACCTAGATCCCTTGAATGCACAGTTAGTTCACAATAGAGTTCGTGCTCCAATGAGAATCTAACGCTGCGCTGATCTGACCAGAGGCTGAGCGTGAGCTCAGGCGGGAATGCTCTCACCTCCTGCCCTTGAGCCTAGTTCCTAACAGGCCATGGAGCTGTCCGTGGCCTGGGGGTTGGGGATCCCTGTGGTAAAGTGTTCAATGGCAAACAGTTGGGGGAGGACAGTTCTTTCTTCTATTATTTGCAACTTTTCTGAAGTTTCAAACTGTTTCAAAAATGTTTTAAAAATACTTTTAGAAGTTCATTTCTTGCTATCTGGAAAACTCAGAGGGGCAGCCCACTGGATACAGCCACCACCACCCCATTAAGATAACAATGGTGGCCTAGAAACGAATAGGACAGTGGCCCTGGAATGGAGGAGGATTGCAAATCAATACGTGTTGGAATTAGAGTGGACTGTGGCACGGGATGAGGAAAGAAGATTCCAGGATGTGCGCTAGGTTTCTAGCCCTGGCAGCTTCACGAATGTGGTGCTACACACCAAAGCAGGAGAGGCCAGGAAAGCAGCAGGTTGCGGTGGGGAAAGGAGTAGGGCCTGGGGCAACGGAATCCAATTACATCACGTAGTTAGTGCTACAGAGTCTGAGATGGTGAAGAGACCATCTCAAAAAATTGATTTTTCTTCGGGACCCTACTGCTGTTTTATATTTTCAAAAACCACCAGCTTCCATGGGGGCGGGGAGAGGTAAGGGGTGAGAAGCAGGAGAACCAGCAACAAAACCCAGCAGCTTCCATGGGGGCAGGGAGAGGTAAGGGGTGAGAAGCGGGAGAACCAGCCTGTTGCGAGGCAACTAAAGACACAGCTTCCAGGGAGGATACGACCCATTCGGTTTTTTGGTTTGTTTTTGAGATAGGGTTTTGCTCTGTCGCCCAGGCTGGAGAGCAATGGAGTGATCACAGCTCACTGCAGCCTCCACCTCCCAGACTCAGAGGATCTTCCTGCCTTGGCCTCCCCAGTAGCTGGGATCACAGGCATGCTCCCATGCCAGCTAATTCTTTTATTTTTTGTGGAGACGGGGTCTCGCTGTAGCCCAGGCTGGTCTAGAACTCCTGGGCTCAAGTGATCCTCCCACCTTGGCCTCCCAAAGTGATGGAATTACAGGCGTGGGCTACCACACCTGGCCACCCTGAAATATGCTAAGGCCCCAGAGACACGGCTGCCCTGCAGCTCAGAAGCTGGGCCTGGGTGACCAGCCAGCACTCACAAGGCTCCAAGTTGCAGCAACTGGGAGACTACTGCCCACCAAGCCCTGCATCGCCCACACCATCAGCCACAGCGCCAGCCACGGCACCTGGGCATCATCTCAGACTCCTTCTGCAGAGCCCATACCCCTCGCCCAGCACAAAGCCACCTCTTCCTGCCCGTCTTCCTCACCAGGCTCTAAGCAGGGCTGACCGCCGCTCCCCCGGACCTGACATGCTGACAGGACCCCTTCAGCACAGCTGCCTGTGTCTATGCCATGTGGCAACTGACGTTCACGGGAAGTCATCACGAAAGGGTGGCCTTCTCTACATGGAGGGTTCGCGTCCCTCCTAAGATAAGGATATTCAACATCTTGGGAGATTTTCCATCCAAAAGGCTGAATAAAGCTTTAGCCTTTAGACAGCTTAACTTTTACTAGTAGAAATTTTCTCCTAATCAATCTCTTCATTCCTCCTACCCCAGACCGTCCCCTAAATAACTTCTCTCGATGCCCTAGAAGACGATGGATTAATCAAGCGTAACCACCGACAAATATGAGATCCAAACTGTAAGGGAAAATGGAATTTCCCTTTAAACGGGAAAAGCTTTGCCAAGAAGAACTGCAGGCGGAGGCAGGATCTTTGCCTAAAACTGACGGAAAATCACTGTGAAATCAAACAAGATCAGACCAGCTGGAAGGAGTGCCCGGGTGGGAGGGTCTGAGGAAAGAGGACAGTGTCAAGAGCAGAAGCCTGAGGCAGGCGGGCAGGAAGTCCTGCTTTCCCCTGTCTGGCAGAAGCCCTCCGCCTCCCCTTGGACGGTTCTGTTCATCCGTGCCACTCCTGTTTGGGCCTCGGCTGCTTTGTGGCCCCAATCAATACATTTGGAATTGGAGACAGTGTGACAGGTTATCCGTTACCAATAATACCTTTTACCACTGAAGGAACAGGGCCCCAAAGGCCAAGCCACATGCAGAGGACACAAGGGACAGACGTCTTGCCCCCCAAGTGAGTCGTCAACTCCACCCACAGCATGGTTCTCTCCTGAGGTCTTCTCCTTGTAACTGCCAGCTACCGCTCCAACCCTTCAGGAGATAGCAGGACCCACACCTTCCTGGCGCAGCACCGTCACGGCTGCTGGAGTGCGGGGGCAGCTGCGGGGGAGGCACCTCTGAAGGCCCAGCAAGACCTACATGGAGGGCCCAGGCCCAGAGGTCAGGCTAGAGAAGGCATGGATGTGTGCGAGGGCCCAGGCACACCGACACACTATGCATCCGGTCCTCTTGCAGACAGAGAAGGGGCCAGAACAGCACCCCAGGGACCAGGGAGTGCAGCCAGAGTGGACGGGGCACAGGCTGAACCCCCCGTGAGAGTATGGGGCGTGTGCCAGGAGTCAGGGCCTTGGCCCGCATGTGGCAGGGAATGCAGGCGCTTTCACGGTACCACCCTTGAGTGAGTTCACAGCTCCAAAGGTTTGGAATTTATGCTTACAGTTCAAGCGGCTGACGGCTGACGCAGCTACAGAAGATCAGTACCTATCACGAAGTTTTAAAAAAAGGTGTTCAAATTACACAAAATGTGTTTTCTTTGTTTCACAATAACTAAGCTCTTTTGTAAGATGTCAGAACACGGCCTTCACAAGGAGCCAGCCACAGGCCCCTCTCATCAGGAATCATGAGCCTGAGAAAAGTGACTCTTCCTAGGCCGCGTGCGGTGGCTCACGCCTGCAATCCCAGCACTTTGGGAGGCTGAGGCGGGTGGATCACGAGGTCAGGAGAT